AGAGCAAATTTGATATCGCTTAAACTTCTAATAAGCTGGGATATAAATGGTAAACGTTACACCCTTATCCACCTGACCAGAAGCAGTAATTATGCCACCGTGCTTGGCAATAATCTTTCTCACAATAGATAATCCGATTCCGGTACCTGCATGAAGGTCATTATTTTGAAGTCGTTCAAATACATCAAATACCTTATTGTTAAACTGGGGATCAAATCCAATGCCATTATCGGTAACTGTTATGCAGCAATAAGATTTCTTCGACGACAAAGCATCTAAGGTTGTACCGTGGCTTTCTGCCTTTAGTTGGCTGCCTTCCATAGTAACGCTCGAAATCCTGATCAGCGGTGGAACATCTTCCCTGGAAAATTTAAGTGAATTGCTCAGCAGATTTTTCATTACCTGCCTGAATTGAAAAGGGTTGATGAATACCTCACACAGGTCATCTACTTCAATAACTGCACTCTTTTCGAGTATTTTATCTGCGAGATCAGCAATGGCTTTTTCAATAATCCTGTTAAGATTGGTTTTTTCGTTGCCGCGTTCTGAAATGCTGGTTTGCGAATAGGCTAAAAGATCCTGTATCAATCGTTGCATCTTCCCCGCCGCATTATTGATACGCTGGAAATTAGCTTTGCCATCGTCTGATAGTTGGGCATAGTCTTCAGAAAGAATGCGGCCTGCGAACATTTGAATTTTACGTAAAGGCTCTTGGAGATCATGGCTGGATACGTAGGTAAAAGATTCAAGCTCCTTATTTAAACTGCTTAGCAATTCATTGTTTCTAACGAGGGCCTCATTTGAAATACTCAGCTCCACTGTGCGTAAACTTACTTTTTCTTCCAGTTCTTTTGAATGGACCATGTGCATCTTGGATATTTTATCCCTTGCAACTACCTGCTCGGTTACCTCATAACCAAAGACCAGAATGGAATAAATCTCTTTATTCTCGTCATACATCGGCTGGTAGCTGGAATTAAAGTAACGGTCTTCCGGCATTAAGTTTTCATCCCTGGCCAATGTGATTAGCATTTCAATACCCACGTATGGGACACCTGTTGTGTACACGTTATCCAATATGGTATCAAAGCCCTGGCCTTCCAGTTCAGGCAAGGCAACCATAATAGGTTTCCCTTTAATTTTGCGATTCCCAAAAAGTTGCTGGTAACGTGAGTTTACCATTTCATATACATGCTCCGGACCTGTCATGGTGCAGATGAATCCCGGTGCATTCATCAGCAGCTCCTCGGTCATTAAAGCCTGGGCTTCCATTTTCTTCCGAAGGATTTCCTGTGCTTTATTAGCTGATTGTAGCAGATCATTTAAATTGCCTTGTTCAACGTTTAGAAATGTGAGCTCATCATTTGTACTCTGAAGCTCCTCTTTACTACTTTCCAATTCTTCATTCAGGCTTTGCATTTCTTCGCTACTGCTCAATAGCTCTTCATTTGCACGTTGGTGATATTCACTTTCCTGCTCCATTTCAGAAGATAATGTACGGAGGTCAACCTTACTTTGGGCAAGTTCTTGCTCGAGTTGAATAATACGAAAATCCCTGGTATCTGGTAATACGCCTGCAGGCATTACGTTCATTTGAACCGGCAGTATCATTGAATTAAATAGGATAAGATAGCCAGTATCAGTCAATCCTGTTATTGGGATTACATCAATTGTCAAAGTGCGCTGGATATCACCTACTGACATTGCGATCCCTTCCTTCCGTAATGGCCTTTGTGTTGATTTTGATTGTTGTATAATGCTACGCAGTTCGAAAGAGAGGTCTGCTTTTGCAAGCTTCAGCAAATTAAGCGTGGGCTTACCAGAGGTTTGCTCCAAGTAGTCGTTCGTATGTCCCCGGAATTGTACAATTTCCATATTATCATTGATAAGTACTCCAGTAGCCCCGTAATTTGCCAGGATCGCTTCATCAATGACTTTCTGTAAGTCAAATTCGGGGCTTGCTTTTTTTGCCCCTGCATTTGCATTGTAAAGATGTTTTTCACTTCTCGGACTCGCCACATGCATATAGCTGCCCGGCCCATCTTTACGTGTAAAAAGCTTGTCTGTTTTATCTGTCGGGGCAAAAAGTTCAGGTACACCGCTCGCGCTTTCCGCTTT